TTAAAGTGCTTTGCACTGTTACTAAATATCGGTAATTGGATTGGCCATCAGCCGATATGGTTGGTTAATTATTGGCTATGGGTATTGGCCAAGAAAATCTTTATTGGTGCACCCCTGTGGGAAAGGGGAGGAATGTGGATGAGACAGCATGGGGAAGCAGATGCTGCCAGAGCCTGTTCTGAGGAGCTAATATTTAAGGAAGGCAAATGGCATTGCTGGAATCAGCTAATCTGGTTCCCGGTGCTCAAGGTCCAGTGCACTGATACAGATTTCATAGATTTCATAGATTTCTAGGGTTGGAAAGGACCTAATAGATCATCGAGTCTGCCCTTTGTTCTGGGCAGGAAAGAGCACTGGGGTCAAGTGACACCAGCCAGGTGCTTGTACAATCTCCTCTTGAACGCCTCCAAGGCAGGGGAAAGCATCAGCTCCCTTGGAAGTCCATTCCATATTTTGGCAACCCTCACTGTAAAGAAGTTCTTTGTGATGTCCAATCTAAATCTACTTTCCTTCAGTTTGTGGCCATTGTTTCTAGTAACCCCGAGGGGCACTCTGGTAAACAGAGTATCCCCTATTCCCTGCTGACCCCCGCAATGAGTTTCTGGACAGCCACAAGATCACCTCTCAACCTTCTCTTGTGGAGGCTGAAGAGATTCAATCTGTCTTCATAGGATCTTACCTGCAGGCTCTCAACCGTGTGAGTAGCCCTCCTCTTAACCCTTTCCAGGTTATCCACATTCCTCTTGAAGTACGGCGCCCAAAACTGGACGTGGTACTCCAGTTGCGGCCTCACCAATGCCGCATGGAGGGGAAGTATCACCTCCCTAGACCTGCTCATGATGCACCTGCTAATGCAAGACAGAGTGTGGCTAGCTTACTGATAATCTCATCACATTGGCGACTTATGTTCATTTTTGCATCGACTATGACTCTGAGATCCCTTTCCATTGCTGTGCTACGTAAAATGGTACTTCCCAGTCTATAGGTGTATTGGTGATTTCTCCTCCCCAGGTGCAGCACTTTGCAGTTATCTTTGTTAAATTGCATCCTATTCTGATCCACCCACTTCCCCAGCCTGTCCAAATCTGCCTGAATTAGCTCCCTACCCTCTAGCGTGTTTGGACATGGAAGCATGATCAGGCCCCCAAGCCACCCATTGGAAGGGCACGAAACATTTTGACTTTCTGAAAACTGAGATCAATATCTGAGTATTTATATCAGAAAGTAGGATCTGCATATTAGGTCTAATGCTGCTTGGGTGGTGGCTGCAAGCTTCATTGCTGCCGTGGCACTTGGTGCAAGAACTTGCTGTTTAAACATTAAATCTAAGGGAATAAAACAAGCACCAGCCACCTCGCCCCAGGGGCAGCATGATGGCTCCCAGACCCTCCCTGGTAAGCCAACAGCTTTCTTCCAATCCCCTGCTGGGTGCATGTTCTACAAATTAGAGCACAGTTGTGCCTTCCCCTTTAAGAAATGCAAAATATACAGTGTGATTCCCTCCCCTTGTTCACATAAAAGTTTTGAAGTTATGCACCATCCTTCATCACATCATCCAAGCTGTATCACCACCCACCCTAGCCCCCCTGGATTTTCTCAGTATATGTGTGTGGTGTGTGCGTGTGTGTACACACACACAAAAAGGTATATATATGTGTGTGTATATATTGTGTACACACACACACACACACACACAAAGGCCAGATCAATCAATGCCAGATTACACATTCCCATTAAACATATTCTGGGAATGAATTCACAATGTGCCAATTCCAGTTTCATATCATCTAACATTATCTACTGGGACAAAAAAGCACCAGCTTGAAAAACCTGCTGAGATCTATACAATGCATTTTACAATGTATCTATACAAGGCATTTTATAATACCAAACACAGCAATTAGTTCAATTCTCTTCACTGCAGTACTCCCCTGCTCTCTTAACACTGACACTACGAAAAAAACTGTTAAGAGTTTGACACTACTTAATGCCTCCTGGCAACTATGTTCCTTTCATAATTTTGGCTTCACATTGGATGCTTCTGATTTCAAATATTTCCATTCATCCAGCAGGGTGGTTCTATGAAAGAACTAACAAAGGGAAAAAGCTAACGCTGAGTATCTGATGTAATCTGCATTGGGTATAAGAGGTGAGGAAGGATTACACGAGTGTTGGATTATCTGGATTCCTAAACTGTTAATTTTGCGAGTTTCTGATATGCTCCACACATGAAACAACTTCTTCCGCACTTTGTTTTGTAACAGAATCAAGCTGTGAGATGAGCAGTTTGGGGATCTGAAATACCTATAGGGAGTACACAGCAGTTTTGGAAACTGGGTGTGATTTTTTCAGCTGGATACAACTAAAAGGCATTTTTAATGTCAGTTCCTTTTTATTATATTCACCTACAAAGTGTATTTAAAACAACTGCTTGAGGACATCTAGACAGCAGTACACTTTCAACAGGAAGCATGGCTTGTGTCTAGCTCATAGTCAGGTGATTAGGATATTTCTCCTGGGACATGGGAGATGTGGGGCTGAACTCTCCCACAGTCTGAGCAGGGCATTACACTAAGGGCCCCTGCATCCAGGCAGAGAGCTTTCACTACTAGTTTACTATATAGAAAGGAGAGCCCAAGAGGTCCCCGTTCGGAGGGAGCCATAAAGTCTGCCCCGCCTGAATATTTGTATAAAGATTCATTTTTTCATTGATAATTATAACTATTTTGTGTTTGTATTTTCCTGTCACACAAAAACAGCAGCATAAAATAATGAAAAATGAAAAAAAAAATTTGGGGTCAGATTATACTCTCCTCATGTTTGGTGGCACTTTACTCAAAAAATAGTCCTGCTAACTTCAATAGGGTTTCTTACGTGGTAAGGCACTAAAAGAACGGACAATCAAACCTTTTAGAAACACATCATGTAGCAGCCCTGTCACCTGGACAACATGCGTTTAAGCCTTGAACTTAGAAAGATGTATACACATGTTTAACTCTTTCCATGGGAGTATCCATACAAGACTCATGTTTATCATAAGTTGATGTCCCACTGGAATCGTCTTCCTCTTGTGTCCTTCCACCACAAGTATTTGTTTTCCCCCATTCAGACCACAGCAGAGATATTCACGCAGCAGTCCCTGTAATACTTTCTGATTTTGCAAATCCTGCTAAACACCTACTCCCGCAAACACTGAAGTCAGAGGCCTCAGTGGTGTCGACAGGTCTAAAGCACTGGCTAGATGAGCACTTCACTGGATAAGGGCTGTACAATAGCCCTGTTGATATCAGTGAGATTAGTCAGGCAAAAACGTAGATACTTTTTAATTACACTCTGGGTGCATCTACACGAGACTAGTTGTGCAGTAGCCTGATAATACTAGGCAGTAGTGCATCGCCGCATGGACTGTGCTAATATGCTATTGCACAGTATTATTAGGCTACTGCACAGGAGCATCACTAAAAAGGTGTTCGCTCGTGCTACTGCACAGTAACTCTGGTTACAGTGCATTTATTTACTACTTGGTTATATAAGAACTAAATTAAATGTGCAGTAACCACTGCACATGAATGAACACGTAGATGCATCCTCTGACTGTTATTACAGGAATGTAAAGCATATACTCCATGTTTGGACACTCTGTATAGGTATAATAACGTAGAGAAAGGAGTATAATGAATTCTAAATGTATAAGCTTTAGCTGAAGAGATGCACATACAATATGCTACAATAAAAAGCAAAGCACATCTCAACTGTATTTTTTAACAATTTTTTTAATGGTTAAAGTGTGTTTAAGTGCGACTAATTGGCAATTTGATGGCCAGGGACCACAAATTTATGTTAACTTACTAGCTATTAGCTGTATAGTCTACTGGTTATGATCTGGGGAATTTATCTGCACAATTTATGAGTTCTGATTAATATTATGAGACCTTTATTTTTGAATGGTTGCATTACTGAATAGCTCTGTCCAGGTGTGTCTGCCAGGGAGTAGTAGAACTGGATCAGGGACCAGGGTCACTCCAAAAATCATGAAGTTTGGCGACAGTAGTGGAAACAGCTAGAGACAATGGGCTAACTGGGGCCGAGGCAAACAGATCTGGCCAAGTTTATCTGCCACAGGCAGCATTTTGGAGCAGTAAAAAGTTTCTAGAAACAAGATAAAGTGAGAACAGTCTCATAGGGGAAGACAGAAAGATATACAGGAAGGTTTGGGCGTGAGGGGACATTGCTAAGCCTGCTTTTGTTGCGTCTGTGGGAGGCTAGAATAGCTACAGGATCAATCAAGGTCAGAAAAGATGCACTATGAATTGCTTCCTTTCCTGAACAGAGATTTCCAAGGGCAGCATAAGCTAAGAGAAGGGGCACTTCGCTAAGGAGGCTTGTTTTCCAATGATCTGTAATCCCTGGTGCTATAACCTTTACCTGAAAACACCGATTTGTCTAGAAGCCCAGTACAAAGCCTTTGGAAAAGCTGAACTGCAAACTGGAAGGCTCACAACTTCAGTCTGACTGTGTGAACAGGGAGTGTGTTTCAGTTAGGATGGGGATGGATGAGTCTGCATTAGCATCTGGACTCTGGCTTCCAGCTCAAGGTGAAAGAGAGGGTCTGCCCCAAGAAGTGTGCTGAGAGACCCCACGGCCAGTTCCTGGACTCTGACTGGACTCAAGAGGCTTAAAGCATCAGAAGGACTCAGCTGCTGCCAGCAAAAGGGAAAGAGGCCAACAGCCAGATGCTGTTGTATTTACAGCCCAATCAAAGACTGAACACTGGGTCCTGCACGATGAAACTTGCACTGTGCGATTCTCTAGGGAAGTTAAATCCTCCTGCTTCCAGACAACATCTCTTGTATACAACATGTAGCACTCTGGATGCGGCAGCCGAAAGCCAGACCACTGCACAGGATTGTTGTGGAGAAACCATTTGCCACGTCACGTATTACTTCGCAGAATTCCAAATGGCTGCATGTTTAAAATTAAGACATCGAACAATTGCTTACCCAAAAGGTATTTTGCTGAGGACATAATATGCCGTATACGAATGCTGATACACCTGCAAAATGGGAGAGGGGGACAAAAAAGAAGACACACAACAAGAAGATTAGTAATGTAACCTGGGTTAATGGGGCTCTCATTAATGCAAAATCTAGCATTTATGGCAAGAGGACTGTACAAAATAATGTTTCGTAATCCAGAGCAGGAGAGAACAATATATTAATTCACCTAATGCTGTTGTGTGCTCTTTTCATCTCACACCCTATTAAAGTGTTTGGCAAATCGTATATATCCAGATGCTCTGTGTTGTTGCCATGGAAACCGGGTCTTTGATTAAACTAGGGGCACATACTCCCTGCAATGGCTAAATATAGAACAATCATTAATGAGGACACCTTGGTCAGCTGGAGACAGCTTACCTGGTTGTAGCTAGGCACAACAGGGATAAAATACATATTCACTGGTTTATTCCTGCATAAAGCAGGCAGAGAATAGGACTCACAGATATCCCTGAGTGTGGTGGCACCTTCACAGATATCAAATGGAAGCTTTCTGACTTTGGGCTTAATGCTGACTTAAAGCTGGCTTGGTCTAGCAAGCTGTGGGCATATTCAACTTGCCTGAACTTCTCTTAGAGAAGAGGGAGGATTTTCCATCTCCCATGATTAGGCCCCATCATACGGGAAAGTTTATTACTTGCTTTAAAATGAAAAAGAGGAGGCAAGGTCAACAGTTTAAAACACTGGTCTGGTTTTCACAGTCACCTGAATTCTTGAGGGGACTTTGGATTGCTCAAGAGGAGCAAGGGTTCATTACCTCCTACTTTACACACCCACAGTTTCCAGTTCTGTGCCATGATTTTAACTTAAAGCACTTTACAAAGTGAGCATTCTCCAACACACAAATCTCCATGCCTGTTTCCTAAGGTATCTAGATTCCACCATCTTTCATAGAGCAATCAAGCTCTACAATATATGGTGAGAAAGGAGCTTCTTCAATACTAGGCCTGTATGCCCATTTTATTTGTGCCTGCTATCAGATGCAATCTGGGGGGAGGAAGAGGCCTTTCTTCCAAAGAAGAACCTGATTAGTGATATACACCTTGATGGTGACCATGATGCAGTTGTACTGCTATCATCATTCCTTAACCAAGCTTGCATGACTGTGATTTCAAAGCCAGTGTCACAGAATACACGGTTGTAGGACAGAACCAAGTGAAAATGCTTGTAGCAACTTTTTCTCTTCCCTTTCTTTCTTTGTCCTAAGCCATCTTTTATTCACATTACAGAATTAATTGACTGGCCAAAGGTGAGGACAGTTGAATAAATTACACCAAGTAGAAAGGAGGGCTGGGGCTTACTGCATGCCAGCTGCTCCACGGTAACTGTTTTATCTACTCTATCCTGTAATAAGTGGAATCTAAACTGCAGTAATTTAGAAATTGCTTCATTCAGGAATTAGTTTTAGCTGTGCCCCGTTAGCTTCCACTAAGTGTGATGGAGTAGAGCTTGTATTACCCCTTTTAACTTGGTTAAAGTTAAAAATCTGTTCTCACAAAAGTCAGATAGTTTAGGACAAAAGTGTAGGATTTTAGTTAAATAAATTACACAACAAATACCGCTACTAAGAAAGGATCTTACAATTGTCACTGACATTTAAGCCATTCTACTGGGGATGAAGAAGCTAAAAATATGGGTTACTACAGCTTGAGCTAAAAGAGCTCATGTAATGTGAATGTAATGTGTATAACAGCAGGATAAATGAGGGGCAGTCTGCAAAGCTGTGCTGACTGGTAATCTAGACTACAGTTCCTGCAAAGCTCCAGGGCTAGGGACAGACTTTCAAAAAGCTGGAGACTGAATTCATTCAATCTTTGCAGGTTAGTCTAACTTGGTTAGGCTGAATCAGTTTTTAACTGTACAGACATCCCAGAAATGCAGACATATTCCTGCAGTGGCTCAGGCTGGAAGTTGTGGGGTGCTAGACTAGCCTTCCCTTCCCTTCCCTTCCATAGTGCTGAGCTGAGGGGGCATAGCAAGGCAGGACACTCTGATTAGGGAGGGGTTCCCCCCTCCTGATCAGCCCAGCAGGCCATTGATAACAGTGTTGATCACCCCCTAACTCAATGTTTATCAGCCCATTAAGAAAACAACAGAGGGACATTACCATCTAGCTGTTGATTTCACCTTTGTCCCGTCTGCCACAGCGCGGACATAGCCAGCATGTGGTCTGCTAGCCAATGCTGAGAAGCGTTGTAAGGCAGAGGGGATGGGGGATCCTTACTTAGCAGGGAGTGGTGAGGGGAGGGGGGGAGCAGGGAGAAAGCAGGCAGTCACCTGCAGTCTCTGCAGCCAGGGAGCAGAGGGGAGGGGCCAGCCCTGCTGTGGAGCAGAGGCCTGCCCAGCCCAGAGAGCATGCCGGGATCCTGGGGGTGTCTGGTTTATCTTAAACCATCAAGGGGTTTGGGATAGACATTGCATAAACCGGTTTGACCCAAATCAGTTAAGTCTGATATTATATTCAACCATGTTGATCTCAAAACCAGCTTCTGATCAGTTAAACCAGTTTATGTATAATATATGTCCCTAACACAGGGGCTTGGGAGCAAGGGAAAAAAGGAAGAGGAAGCTTGAGACTGGAGTAAGGGGAAGAGAGCAGCATGCACTGGAACCTGGTCAGCCCTGTGCAGAGGAGCTCGCAGTGGAGCTGGAGACCTCACTGGCTCTGTCAGCCAGGGCTGTGGCCTGAAGGAGCTGGATTCAGACTTGGGGTAGCTGCAGGCTGTTGTTTAAGCCCTTTAAGGACTAAAGGCTGGTATGGGGACACGTCCAGAGGTGGGGGGAATTAAGGTGCTGAGTGGATGTTACCACAGTGTTGATGTTTCTTTGCCTTCTCCTGTTCCCTCCTTTTGGCCTGTTGACTTGTGACCATAACCCCTATGATCGTTCTGTATAAAAATGGAAACTCCCTCCTGCTTCTTGTGCCAGTTTCTAATGTTGGCACACCAGCTTCTATACCTGAGGGCTTTAAGAGACTTAGATTCTCTGCAGAGTGGGTAGACAGGGGAAAACATAATATACGCTGACTTGTGGGTAAGTAGATGCTCCCTTTCTGTGATTGCAAAACCCAAAAATTGCAGCCTTGCATTGGTTCACGAGAACCAGTGAAAAAAGCAGCAGGTACACTGCAGGTACACTTTTTCTATCTTCCAAATGCTGGGAATCCCCTACTGGACCAATATCTTATCTTTAGCAGGCAGCAATACTGCACCTTCTGGCTCTCTCCAATTCATTCATTCCTTCCCGAAGAGAAGCTCCTCCAGGGAATATCACAAGGTAACATCCTATTCCTTTGCATTAGGATTTTGTGTCTCTGGCTTGATAGACATGTAACATCACATGCAACTTAGACCACTCCTTTGTGAATACACATCTGAGAAGGCTCAGGAGCATGACTGATTCTAGCTCAGGGTGGCATTTATTTATGCCCTCCAGACCCACTTGTTTCACATGGTGTCACACAAATTCATGTTGCTTTCCCACTCTACCCCATATGACCCCTTTTCACTAGATAGAGACCTTTTTAAAAGTCTAAATTGTAAAACTTGGCAAGCTGTAGTGTAGATCAGAAAGCAGAATATGGACTGAGGTTTTTTTGGAACATTAGTGAAATTTTAAAGCTGCCACGATTCTTCAAAGAGAAGGAAGGGGAATAGCAAATCCTGAATACAAAACAAGTGGACACCAAGTGGAATCATACAATACACAATATTGGCACAGCTTGGCTAGAAAGCTTTTCTACAAAGTCCTGTATGATTTTGGGTGCGAAGTCAAACCAAATGGCTTTCAAAGTAACTCCTTTCTTACCTGTCTTAATGCTACTATACCAGGGGTGGGAAAAATAGGGCCCACGGGGGGACTTTGTCTGGCCCACGGTGGGTCCCTCAGTCCCACCTGGCCTAGGCACCACCCAGCTGTGGTGCATCCTACCACCCCCTGGGCACGCAGCACAGCTGGGGCAGCTCCATGGCTGGATGCCTTTCTAGGAAGCCTGGGGAGCGGTGTCTCCTCCTGGCTGCCACTGTCACTGGCCCCAGCCCCGTGATACTGGTGGGGACCTGTATGCATGGCTTCAACCCACCCTGCACCTCCTCCGGACTCACCAACCCAGGCTGAGCAGCAGCAGTGGCAGCAGCCAGGCAGAAACTGCTGCTTAGCATGGGGGAAAAGTGACATCACCCCCTCACTGCTGCCAGGCCCTTCTGGTAGACAGCGGACCAGAAAAGAGAAGGCAGAAACTGAACTCAGGCTAGCCACGGGAATCAAGAACAACAAAAAGTCCTTCTTCAGGTATGTGGGAAGTTGGAGGAAAAACAAAGGCAATGTTGGACCCCTGCTAAATCAACTGGGGCAGCTGATGTCTGACAATCAGGAAAAAGCCAAATCTCCTAAACTATTATGTTGCATTGGTCTTCCACCCATCCAAACGTGTCACCCTGTCAGCTAGGATGCAAAACATCCAGGGAATGGGAGATGGGCCCACAAAACCAGTATCATACTTATAGGCTTGGCAGTGCTATGCTCGCTAGCACCATGACTGAAAGAGAACTGGGGGGCCTTGACTGACCACAAGGTGAACATGAGCCACCAAAGTGATGCTGTAGCCAGCAAAGCAAACCAAACTCTGGCATGCATCCACCAATGCATCCACCAGTGCATCTCAAGCAAAACCAAGGATGTCATCCTCCTGCTTTATTAGGCTCAGTGAGGCCACAGCTGGAGTACTGCGTCTAGTTTTTGGGCCCCCCAGTTCAGAAGGGACATGGGTAGGCTTGAGAGAGCCCTGAGGAGAGCCACCTGCATCATCAAAGGCCAAGAGAGCAAGCCTTATGAGGAGAAGCTGAGGGCCATGGGACTTTTCAGTCTGTGGAAGAGAAGGCTCGGGGGGGACTTGGTGACAGCCTATAAGCATATAAGGGGGGGTGCACCAGGATATGGGAGAACAGTTGTTCACCAGGGCTCCCCACGTGATAACTAGGTCTAATGGCCACAAACTTCT